TTGCTATTGCTATTGCTATTGCTATTGCTATTGCACTGCTTCTGCCAGCCTCTGCTCCACAGTCTCTGGCTAACCTTCACAAGATGTGCCTGGATCTTTGCAAGGCTGCTGTTTACCAGGCCAGGCCTTCTGCCGACTGTTCAATTTGAAAGGCTCACAAGAAGGCTTACCAATTTGCAATTTTGACAAGGACACATAGGGTAGAGTTAAAAGGGGGGTGGTGAACGTGATGGTGCGATCAAACCTCTGCAGACACTTTGCCACAATCGGCCAGCTTCAATTGCACTATTGTGACCACCGTTCCAATTGCAGAGACCCTCTGAGTTCCATGAAGTTTGGTTGCAAATGGGACACGACATCAGCGGGAGCATCATTCTGGCCTTAGGAAGAAGGCAGCTGCCTTACAAAGGACTAGGTGGGTGCATTTTGCCAATAGCGGGAGAAAGAAAACAAGAGATCAGCTGAAGGCCCTTGTACACCGGCTAGCCAAAAAGGCAGAGAGATGGGTAGAGATAGGCAGGTGCAAGTAGTTGGAAGCAGCCTCTAATCTTACTGAAATCTGGGACTGGGACAAAGCTGTGAATGGCTTGAGTCAGGGTGTATCGTAATGACTGGGTGGGATTAACAATAGCAAATGGCATTATCATCACTAAAACCATGTGGTCATGTGACATCATGCCTTATGACTGCGTCATTTCATGATGGGAATTCCAGCCTCAATTACTGCCATAACCTGAGGATTCCCTGTATGTTCATATTTCATCAAAATCTTTTGAGTCATCTGCCAATGCAACAAATAAACTCATTCCATACACAAGCTGTCCCACAGGACTAAAACATGCCAATGAGTATTTTTAAAATCAGAAGATGATCTGCTGTTTGGCTCAGAGCAGGAAATGCAGTAATATTAAAGGGACAGGTGGATTCGTGCATTATTCTTAAATCATTACCTTTTAAAACCAGTACAGTAATGAATAAAATCAAACATAGTAAAGATTTCACAAATTTCAAGAATTAAATTGGTCATTTCCAATTTCCTTTCAACAAGCATGTTATTAGGAGTGTACTCACACGAAGAACTGGAACACCAGAACTTCTTCCATCTGCAACACTCAAAGCAACATTGCCCTGGCTGCCATGCAGATCCCTAGAGCTGCCATAGTAAAAGTTGCTAACTGGAGCATAATTGGAATTAAAGGACCGTGACAGCATGCTCTGAATAAAGAGGGGACAGATAACAGAGATTAGTGCAGCATGCATAAATCACAAGCCATGTTATACACAAAGTCAGTGCAGACACACAGATTGTATATCATGTTATAACCATGCAAACAAAAAACCGTCCCGCTGTGAATACAAAATCTCGGTCACATGCCATGTGATTTTTCACAATATAACTGAACATGCTGTCTGACATAATCACCACACAAAGCACAGCATACGCCCATTCATTGGCCAGGATCACCTCTCCCTATCTGCCCATCCCACAAGACCAGATTTGGGGAGTGGGGAGGAGGCATGCTTCCAAGCTTCTCTTCCTGAAATCTTGCCATTTAGTAAGACATTGGAAATGTGCCTTTTCCACTTTTGACTACATAGTGAAAGCCCAATAGAATTTCAGCACATAATAGATGAAATCTATATTTAGATCACTATGAGATCAACCCATTGTGAAAAGGCCACACAAACTATAAGACTGGGAACCAGATTTAAACTGAAGATCAATATCCCCAAGTGCTATTTAACAATATTTCCAGTATTATAAAAACTTAATGAACAAAGCAAGCTCCGGAAAAAGTCCTACAGAAGGAAGCCTGCTAATCACCCTTTAAAACCAGGTTTGGTTTGGACACCACCAGAGTGGTGTCCAAAATCAAATGGAACAAGAGCCAATCTAGAAAAGAATTGGTATTAAGCTCTAACATGAAAGAAAACCAAGCCTGCTTCTAACAAAGTACAATGTTTTAATGCATCTTGAGATTGTAAAGATAGGGCTAGGAAACTTAAATCAAATAGCTTCAGGGATGTCAATGTTTCCAAATGTACTGGCTTGCACATTGTATTGGAATGGAGAGATTATTTTGATTGCAAGAGATTACTTTGACTACAAAGACCTTGCCCATAAAGAAATATTATATTGTTTTCATCATCATAGTTTATCATGAGCTACTAAATCACTTTGCATATTTATTGCTGCTGATTCTTACTGATTACAGCCTAGTTTCCAAACAAAAACTTAAATATATTCAGGTATATTACGAATAAGCTTCTCCCAAATCTATAGCCATAAGAAATATCTTGGCTTTGTTTTTACTGGTTGTTGTTTATGAGTTTACAAAGTAATATAAATCGTTTTGCTTGTTTCCTGCTGGGCTCAAAATAGTCTGTGCTAGATTGTATTACAATTAATTGTTTTAATTCAGTTCCATGATTTCTTAAGACAATTTTTAAAAGATGTTTTAAAAATCTTATTGTCAATCTTCGTGACCCGTCAAATGCGTGCCCGACAAATGCGCACCAACAAAACCGTGCCCGCCATCAACAAACAACATAGTGGGATGCGGAAACGTTATAAAGGGTTAGGGTTATAACGTCGTTTTCACATCCCGTTATGTTGTTTGTTGATGGCAGGCGCAGTTTTGTCGGCGCAGTTTTGTCGGCGCAGTTTTGTCGGCGCGGTTTTGTCGG